GGTTCACAGCCATTAACAAGGTAAATACATTTGTAGATTGGTTTGGGCAATTACAGTCATTCAAAAAACAATGCATAATAACAGACATGAGTCTAATAAGCCATTGCTAATTAAATATATTAATGCTGTTTTATAAAGTGAACGCATCCAGCTGATACATTGCAGCAAGTTTTGTGCTGTAAATACTTGAGCAGTGACACAGGCAGAATTTGCATCCCTGGGCATCACTAGTGCCCAATTATAGCTGCAATTACTTTGCTTCAGTGGGCCCAATCTACTGCCCATGAACCAGGCTCTGCTTTTATATGTCGTCCTCATTTTCCTTTGCTCTGTGAGCAACAGCTGCAGCAGAATGGAGCTGCTTAACCCCCAAATATGGGACACCATTCCAAAGCATTTGTGAAGACTCTACTTTGAACTGTGCTCTTCTGTCAATTATAATTTGCAGCAGGTAAAACACTCCCAGGCTGTGGAAAAGACACTTTTCTATCCCAGGAGAGTTCAGTCAATTTTCCGTGACATTAAGTGTCCAAGAGCACAATTTTCCTTCTTTCACTTTCATCTCTTTGGAAAATGCCACCAATCTGGAGTTAACTAGTTGCCCACAGACCTTTTGAGGAGTCAGGCCCAAAGCAACCCCGAGGAGATCCAGAAAGGCTGAGCCAGTCTGGAATCCCCTGGGCAGGGAGGGGCAGCTCCAATCTCTGCTCCCCAGCAGGGGAAGGCTAGGCTGGATTTTTGTAGGAAATGATTCTTCCCCCAGAGGGTGGTTGGGCACTGGCCTTAATTAGGTCCCCCCAGAGCTTTTCTCCTCCAGGTTGAACAATCCCCACACTCTCAGCCTTTCCTCCCAGCAGAGCTGCTCCATCCTCTGGCCTCGCTCCAAGAGATCCATGTTTCCTGTGCTGGGGACCCCGGAGTTGGAGGCAGCACAGGTGGGGTCCCACCTGACCCCCTGCCCTATTGCCCACCCTGCTGGCACTGCCCAAACCCCTGCCCTGCTGCAGCCCAACCTCAGATGTGCCCCAAGGTTACCCAAAGTGCTCAGCCCTCAGCACCAGCTGTGCCAGCTCCTGGGATGGGGCCCTGGCCAGTCTCTCCACTCCAGGCAGGGCAGGGTGGGCAGGAAGGTGCACACTGGCAATGCCAAGTGGGCAGCTGCTTCCAAGAGCTCAGGGACAGACAATGGTGACCTTTGCCAATGCACTGCTCCCAGTGACCAGCCTGGGCAGCTGGATTTAATGGCCTGCTTTGGGCAGGTATGGCTGAAATATCTCACACCTGTCAAATGTTTTTTTCACCCCCTAAAGCACCAAATTATTCACCATCCTCTTGTAGCATTTTGCAGCCAAGTCTCCTGTGACGATTTTCAAAGGATGAGGAATGAACACCCTGATGACATTTCTAGTATCTATAAATATCTCCCCACTCCCCTGCCTGCCCAACTGGTGAATTATGCAGGGAGATGTATATAATAAATAAAACAATCCGATTAATTTTGTTGTCAACAGCCCATTCTTGTTCAGCTGGCAAGAGAACAGCCCAGGCTGTGGCTCTGTAAAGAGCAGGGAGTGCCTGGGGAGTTACTGAGCTTCTCCTTTCCTGTAGGTCTGAGGGGCAACAGTGAGCAGAGAGAGGCCCTGGTGTGCTGGAAAAAGGAGGAAAGGTTTTGAAAGAGAGGCAGCCTGAAATTTATGATAGTAACACTCTCCAGAATGGCAGGAAATCCCACAAACAGAGCACTGAGGATCACAGAATCACACAGAGAATCCCTGAGGTTGGAAAAGCCCTCTCAGCCCATGGATCCCCCCTGTGCCCAATGCCCACCTTGTCCCCCAGCCCAGAGCACTGAGTGCCACGGCCAGGCCTTCCTGGGACACCTCCAGGGCTGGGCACTCCAAACCTCCCTGGGCAGCCCCTGCCAAGGCCTGACCACCCTTTCTAGGGAGAAATTCCTCCTGATGTCCAACCTGACCATCCCCTGGTGCAATTTAAGTCCATTTCCTCTCATCCTGTCCCTTGTTCCTGGGAAGCAGAGCCCAACCCACCCCAGCTCCCCCTCCTGTCAGGTGGTTGTAGAGAGTGAGAAGGTCCCCCATGGTAAAGAAATATTCAAGAAATACCTAAGAAGGACTAATCCAGCAGGATGGATTATCTGGAGCACGATGCACTTACTCTACATTCTGGTTCTGCTTTTCTGTGTTTAATTCAACCGTGCTCTGTTTATGCAACTGAACCTCCTGAATGGTGAAATCCACAGAGAATTTAATGTGCCCAACTTTGCAAAGCCGTGGGAAGTGACCAGTGTACATTACACATCTAATTGGCAGGTTTTAATTCAAACTGTGAGGGATTTAATTTAATAGGATAGCTTTCCCCAGCTAGCAGACCTCTTCTAGCCAGGTACTCATTAAGTGGGATAGTCCACAGACTCTCATTTACGGGTTAGAGGCATTTTAAAATAGGCAGCTTAAACCAGCTCTCTCCGTTGCTTTAGATATTTGCAGATGGCTTTTGCTAAGCCACAACTAACTTCTTCATCATTAATTTTTGGGGCTGTACCTTGGAGACACTTCCTGGCAATTAAACAGAGTTCTTACCAGAGAGTTTTCCCACCTTCCCTTCATCCAGAACTTTGCCATTCTCCGGGACTGCAAACCCAAGGATTTTGTATCTTCTCATTCCTGCAGGAAGAGCTGCTGTGCTGCTCAGAGCAAGAGAGTTCCTGTGGACCTCCTGCAAGGCCTGAGGACATTACCCTCCTGCAGGACTCTCAGTGGGAGGGAAGCTGATACCCTGCACTGGCAGAGAGCTGACCATGTCTTCTCCAGTGTGTGCTGAGGCCATCCATGAAGCTGCTCAGTTTGATATGAAGCTCTGAGAGACCAAACCCTGCCCACAGACACACTGGTTTAACCCCAGTAGCAGCCAAGCCCCACACACTCCCTGGCTCCCTCCCTCCCACAGGGATGGAGTGAGGCAAAAGGGCAAAAGTATGAAAACTGGTGGGTTGAGATAAAGAAACTCGTGGGTTGAGGTAAAGGCAGTTTAACAGGTAAAGCCATAAGTGGATGGAACTTCCAGGCCCTGCAAGAGATGGAGCACAGCAGAGCTCAGAGGGGACAAATTCCTCAGGAGGGGCAGAGGAGGGGCAGGGACTGAGCTCTGCTCTGGGGGGACCAGGGACAGCAGCCAGGGAATGGCTGGAGTTGTGCCAGGGCAGGCTCAGGTTGGATCTCAGGCAAAGGTTCTTCCCCCAGAGGCTGGTTGGGCACTGCCCAGGCTCCCCAGGGCAATGGGCACAGCCCCAAGGCTGCCAGAGCTCCAGGAGGGTTTGGCTGATCCTCTGGGGCACAGGGGGTGACTCTTGGGGATGGGCCTGTGCAGGGCTGAGGGTTGGACTGGATGATCCTTGTGGGTCCTTCCAACCCAGCATATTCTGGGATTCTGTGATTCCCAACTCCCAGGGCTCAGCCCCTGCAGTCCAGAGCGATGCTCTGTGTGTCTGGCTCACTGCCATCTGCACACCCAGCTCTGCTCTGGGAACACATCAGTTCTCAGCCACCCAGTCAGGATTAAATACCCAGGTAGGTTTGTTCCTCCCACCTGACCTCCTGTTTGCTCTCTGTGCTGTGATTAAAGACGTGGCACAGGCCTACAGGCAACTTCTAGAGACTAGTCCGGGAATAATGAGTTTTATTAGCATGGTGGGTTGACCTTGGCTGGACACCTGGAGCCCACCCAGCCACTCTATCACTCCCCTTTCCAGCCAGACAGGGGAGAGAGTAAGGTGGAAAAACCACTCGTGGGTCGGGATAAGGCAGTTTATTTAAAGCCAAAAGTAAAGCAGAAGCTTGCACGCGCTAAAGCAAAGTGAAAGATAACAGGGTTTATTCTCTACTTCCCGTGAGCATCCTCTACAGTTGGTGGATCTGTGTGTGGGTAATATAATGTTACCTGACTGCTAGAATATGACTCAAGGGTGCTTTGAACCACCTTCCTCCACATGGCCATCATGCAATGAACATCCTCTGGGTCTTTGGGGGTGTCATCCCTTCTTAGGTTACTACAAATGATTTCCAGCACTGCTAATTCTCTCCAGTACTGGATACTTTCATCTGCAGTGGCCCCACTTTCTCGGGGAGCTCATTAGATCTTCCTTGAATGGATACCTTTCCATCACACTTGAGAGGAGCCGTCTCCAAACACTGCAAATTGTTCTCTCCTTTCCAATTCCTGTTTCAATTTGGTGATCTCTGGCAAGGGATCCCAGCTGAGCTTCATGACCTTCCAGTTGTTGACTATCAGCCCTGTTGTCCCAGCATCGAGGCAGCCGGGCAGGAATCCATTCACTGGGCTGACAGCTGGAATCTTTCCATAAGTCCCAGAGTTCTGATGAGGTCAGGGACCAGGTAACCTCGGCTTCCTGTTTGAGCTGTCTGACTTCCTTTGTTGAAGAACCAGCTTTCTTATCTGCCCTGTCTCCTCCTTCTACTTCTTCTCCTTCTTCTTCGTCCTCCTCCTCACTATAGCATGCAATATATATATATATGTATATATACATATATATATGTACATATATATATGTATATATATATATATATTTATATATATATAAAACTGCCTTTATCTCATCCCACATTGGGCACCAGAAAGGACTGTGGTGGGTTGTCCTTAACTGGATGCCTGGAGCCTACCCATCTGCTCTATCACTCCCCTTCCCAGCCAGACAGGGGAGAGAGTAAGATGGACAACAACTTGTGGGTTGGGATAAGGCAGTTTATTAAAGTAGAAGCCAGGTGAAAGCTTGCACTTGCAAAAGCAAAGCAAAAGATAACAGGGTTTATTCTCTACTTCCCATGAGCAGTGATGGGCGGCCCCTCCCCAGAAGCAGGGCTTGGGTACACATGATGATTCCTCAGCCATTGGACACAATGAATGCCCCCCTTCCTGCTCCTTGCCTCAGCTTTTATATCTGAGCTGACATCACATGGTCTGGAATATCCCTTTGCTCCGTTTGGATCAGCTGGCCCAGCTGTGTCCCTTCCCAAGATCTTCCTTTCATTGAGGAGGGAGTGTTACAGTGCTGGTGCTGTGCTCAGCAGCAGCCAAAACACTGGTGTGTTACCAACACCCTTCTGGCTACCAGTGCACAGCACAGCACTGTGAGGGCTGCTGTGGGGAAATGAGCTCCAGCTCAGCCAGACACAGTAAGTCTCTATGACCACGAAAAATTCTCTTAAATAACGCCTGTGCTCTATTTTACAGTTGATTCCATTAAGCACATTGGATATTACCACTATTTTCAGTGTTTCTAAAATTTAGAAAGTTAGCAAGAAACAGTTTATAACCACAACATCTGCTCACCTCCCAGCTTTCAACATCACACACATGGGAAAGAAACACAGAGAAAAAATACAAGGTCTGGAGAATTTCACAAGTCACTGGACTATCTGAGTGTTTTGGAAAAGTCCACTGATTTTAAAACTACTTTGGAATATAAAATAGAAATAAAAACTAGATTTAGATTAAGATATTTCACACCTCTGAGTGTGGATTATCAGGCTGCAGGCTGGGATCTTCCAGTGCCCCAGTGCAGCAGGGTAGGAATTACAGGATCTGGGTTTACAGCAGCCATGAGCCTGGTCCACGTGTCCCTCTGCACCTCTGTCACCTCTCACAGGCTCTGTTATGGCCATGTCTCCAGTGCTCAGAGAGAGTCCTGGGGACTGAGTCCATTGGAGAGATGGAGCTTGGGCTAAACCTTAGCATTTAATTTTTTAAATTGCCTGAGGAAGGCAATGTTGGGATTTGCAAATGAGAGGTGTGGGGGTGCCCCTAAACCTGCAGCAGCAGGGCCACACCAGCCAGCACCCACTTGGTAGGGTTGTCCTTGGTTTTAAGGTTGAAAGTCCACACGTAAGTTGGGCCTCTCTGGCGTGTTTTGTACAGAGGACATGGGTACATGGCCCTGGTGTCCTGTTTGTCAGCAGGGATGGCCCTGATGAACAGGACAGGCATGGCTGGGGTGAGCTCCTTGAGCCTGGCATCGGTGATCAGCCCGGCCTGCAAAGGAAAGGAGACAAAGCTCAGTTAGAGTTCCAAGGTGTCCATCAGCTGCTCCATCACAGCATCATCTTCTGTGATTTTTATACAGGTTGGTCTTACTGGGGAAGTGCAAACAGCTTTTCTGAGCTCAAGGGGCTGGATGAGTCTGAGGGAAGGAGGGTCTGGATCCAACACCTGCCCTGTCTCACCATGAGCCTCTCTCAGTGCCGGTTATCTCAAGGGTACAGAGCCTGCCTCCCATCAGGTGCTCAGACCCACACACATCTGAGCAGGACTTTGTGGAGGAACAACGTTCTTGGCTCTGTCCAGCTACATTATGGGCAAAGTCTTCACTTCTCTTGTTCTGGCTTCTACTGTGGTGCAGCTTGAGGCCATTTCCTCTTGTCCTATTGCCAGGCAACAAGGGACAGGATGAGAGGACACAGCCTCAGCTGTGCCAGGGGAGGGTCAGGCTGGATATCAGGAGGAATTTCTTCCTGCAAAGGGTGGTCAGGCCTTGGCAGGGGCTGCCCAGGGAGGTTTGGAGTGCCCACCCCTGGAGGTGTCCCAGGAAGGCCTGGCCGTGGCACTCAGTGCTCTGGGCTGGGGGACAAGGTGGGGATCAGGCACAGGGGGGACTCCATGGGCTGGGAGGGCTTTTCCAACCTCAAGGATTTTGGGATTCAGGGATTATTCTCATGCAGCTATTTCTCAAGGTTTTGCCAGACCAGACTCCCCTCGTGGGAAGTGTTGCATGTGGCAGGAGCAATGGTGGGCACCTGAACGGGGCTGGGGATGGAGAACAACACTCACTAAAAGTCACCAAGTGAGGTTCCATCCCACCACCAAAATCGAGCACTTGGCTGGGAAATGAAATGCACACAGTGGTTTGTGTGGCCCCAAAAGGCACCACAGACTGGTTTCCCCTCTCACAGGTGCTCACACCAACAAGGAGGATTCAACAGGTCTGTTCCTGAGGGAATATTGTCACTAAATATCCCCTTCAGAGCAATGCCCTGCCCAGGCTGCCCAACACAGGACAAAGACAGTACTCTGCCAGGGCAAGAAATCAACAGCTTGTTTCTCTCATTTGGGTTTCTCTGGGATCTTCTGTCTCCCTTTCTGACAGTGAAATGCCCTACACATCAATCCATTTCCAGGGAGCTGCAAAATTGTTAATGGAGGTTAGAGAGACCAAATGAAAACAAATAGAGAAACAGAAACAAAGCTTTTCAGTGCTAGAGAAACAGCCTCTCTCTGCAGCTGACCCTCACATATCATTATTATTTCCAGTGCTCTTACATCAGGGCTGTGGAATGAGGTTCAGCCTCTCCAGTAGTTTATTTAGCTCTGCAAATGAATGAAGAAAAATAATCCCTCTTGCCACACACCTCAGTTTAATTGTACTAATGCCATCTGTTATACTGAACTGCGATAAATCCAGCTCTCATTTAGGATTTTATATTTTCAACGTGCTGAACAAACATTAAATAATTCTTATAAAACCTTGCAAAGTAGCTATTTATTAAACATTGTTATGCACTCTTTTGAAATCTACATCTTTCAGTTCTGAGACTGGATTTTGATCAGTTCTCTTTTTTTTTTTTTTTAACTGCTTGGACTGCTTCAAATCAAATTTCCAAGAGATATTCTACCTGTTTCTGGGTTACCAAGAGTTGAAAACTTCCTGAGGTACCTCCATGTAACACATCATTTTGTTATGTCTGGGCTGATTTGCATTTGCATTTTTTATCGCTCTTATGATCAGAAATCAGTTCTACTCTGAAAGCAATTTTTCCTGACTACTGGCACAGCTTTTCGTGGTGCAAAGCTCGGGGAGCTCAGGCCTCAGATCCTCACAAAGCCCCTTCTGCTTGTCCTGGCTTCCCAACAGGCCACTGAGAGGGAACATGTTGATGGGCCTGAAGACACAAACCAGCTGTCACGAGGCAGGGCTGGGGAATGATGGGCCCAACTCCAGACCCAGTGAGACAACACCCAACACCCCTCACACTCTGTGCACACTGAGGTTCACCAGCACAGGGGCCCTCCCAGCACAGCCCATTGGGGTCAGTTGGCCCAAGGACCCCAGCACAGCTCGGCTGCCTTTGGGACACTGGAACCTGTTTGCAGGGGGGAGGGGTTGGTGACCAGCAGAGGAGCAGCAGAAACATCACCCCAAGAGGGTCCAGAGAGTGATGGGGTTTGTGGCTTCAACTGGACCAGGGGAATGAGAAGAAATTGTTCCCTGTGAGGGTGGGGAGGCCCTGGCACAGGTTGCCCAGAGAAGCTGTGGCTGCCCCATCCCTAGAAGTGTCCAAGGCCAGGTTGGACGGGGCTTGGAGCAACCTGGGATAATGGAAGGTGTCCCTGCCCATTAGATGAGCTTTAAGGTCCCTTCCAACCCAACCCATTCCATGACTCCATGGTTCCATGACAAGGGGCTGTGTTGTCTGCACCTGGCAAGGCTTCACTTGCCACATGTAGTGTAAAAGCCACCTCTCCCCTTGGGGAGTTGCAGGGCACATTCTTGGCATCAAACTGGCCATTGCTGGGAGCAGGAAAGCCAGGAATCAGTCAGCAAGGCTCCCCTGGCTTGAGATAAAATGTCTCAGAGTGTCCCCAGTGGAAGCATCTCTCACTGAGTGCCACTGACTTGAACAGGGCTGCAGCAACACATCATTTGCACCCAAAATAATCTGCTTAGTTTCATTTCATTTAATAGCTGCCTGCTGGTTTGTAATGAATGTTTTATAAATTTAAGACACCCAAGGGCAAATATAAATGTTTAAATAAATAGAAAAATGTGTGTAGCAGAACATAGAGGGACTTTTTCCTTTTTTGGAGGCACAACCTAAATGTGAAATATTCTTTTAAGAGTGGAGGTGTTCCCCAGAGGATGCTTCTAAATAAGGCCTGCCATTTTTATCAGAGGATTAATTTGGAAGGAGTATACAACCCAAAAGAGCTGTGCACCTGTTTTAAAAGTCCTGCATCCATTAATATACTGGTGCTCACTGGATTATAGGTGAAATGAATAGTTCCACTCAGTGGAAATGATATTTCAGTGTGAGCAGCAACCCATGAAAATATCCTTTTCCTTTCTGAAATAAATTGAAGCATGATACCAGAGATTATGAATGGTTCCATAAAGGTATTTGCTCAGTATCTTTCAATCACAAGGAAAATGGAATCAGAAAAACACAGTTCCTGGGGCTGGGATGGTCCCTGCAGACAAAGCTCATTGCTGAATGCAATCACCTGGATGAGTTATTAGGGGGAGGCAGAGGGGAGAAGCCACATGTTTCCCAAAAGATTTCTGGCTTTGCACCACCAAAACTTCTCACTCTTCCCTTCCAGCCCTGACTGGCACTGGGTAAAATCTGGGCAAAACCTGGGCAGAACTCAGTTCTAGTAATGGTGGCAAGGATGGTAAAGGAAAATGTAACACCAGTCACTGGAATTTTTTTAAAAGGATTATTTGATATGCACGACCAGGAATTTTTTTAAACTTTCTCTGTTGTGTTGTGTCCAGTTGGTTTGTACCTGTCAGATGTCAGGGTTTGAGGGCAGCTGAAATGCAGTGCTCCCTGTGCTGAGGGCTGTGACTCCAAGGGGCTATGTGTGGCAGCCACACCACAGACTTAGAGAAGGGAATAGTCAGGGAACTGTGGGACCAGGGCTGGGAAACAGACTGGGCTGGTTGGTCCCTGTTCTGCTGCTGGGAGCTCTGCTGGGAGCAGAGCAAAACCATGGAGGGGATCTGACATGACACCCACACGAGACCTTCACTGCAATCCCCTGACAGAGCCTTTGCCCATGTTCCTGACTGCCTGTGGCTTTCCAGACCCAGTGTACATGTCAACCCATTTCCAGAGTGAAAAAGGGCCGGGAAGTTCGACCTTCCCAAGGATTTGTGATCAAATGCACTGGATGGCATCACTCAGTGAGGTCAAAGATTTGCTTAATTTCCTGTCCTTCAAGGCAAACCATTGCAGAGAGGGAGATGACAAATAAGTAGTGAGTGTTGGACGTGAATTGCAAGGTCAGGCTGGGATTCAGGATCTAACAGGCTCCTCAGCAGCCACCCACCAGGTCCCACAGCAGATAAAGTGGGATCTTTGAGGTTAAGACTTGGAGTCTTAAGAGCTGGCTCTGGGTAAAGAGCTGTGTCTGACATAAAAGCCTCTTCTTGTGAGAGGGTAAACTTGACACAGATCAGAAGGTTTTGGGTGACCCACTTTGGTCAGTGTTCTCTCTCTCACAGATCCCTGGCAGCAGCAGCAGAGCACAGGAAGAGCTGCAGGAACCACTGTCCTTGAATTCCCACGCACAGAACAAACTGGGAATCACAGCCCCACGGGCCAGGCAACTCATAGAACCAGACCCAGTGGGAATTGTCAGTCTGAGGGCTCTGGCTCTGCAGGCTGTGCTCCTGCAGCTGACAACTGTCAGAAGGACTCACAGGGAGAGCTGTGCTCCTTGGGATGCTGCTCCAAGAGGATGCCAGAGCTCCACAGGTAGGAACAGCAAGTGCCCAAGGGGTAGGTATGGTCCTCATCTTGGCTGCCTGAGGTTGTGCTCCAGCTGAAAGGTGTCCCTCTCACCCAGAGGGGGAAAGAAGAGCAAGGGACACTCACTGTTTCTGCTTGTCCAGGGTCAGCCCACCCCCCATCCTGAGTCAACAGCCTGAGTCCACGTGGACTATCCAGGTTAGACCTTCATCAAGCTTTATTTAAGGGAATGGATAAAGAATATGATTAATTTTTGGTCACATCCTGCAGCACCTGACAATGGAAGCACAGTGCTCTGGGTGTGGCACATCCCATCCATCCAGCCCTGAGGATGTGAGCACGTAGGAAAGCAGAGTCCTCTCCTCTCTCCCCACTGCTGCCAAACAGGCAACAGAGCAGTGCCCCCAAAAAATCTGTCACTTTTGGAGGCAGCAGTGAAATCACACCATGTGAAGGTGTGGGGACAGTGCAGCTCTGCCAGGACCCCATGTGTCTGTCTGTAGCAGGACCTCGAGTACTGAGCACAGTTCAGTCAGTGAGATTCACCTGGGACACACTGGATGTGTCAGTCCAAGCTGAGCACCCTGGACTCCCTTCACAGCCACGGAGCTGAGCTCCAAAGGGTGATTCCTCTGATCTCAGGAGGCCTCAGATGGCCCAGATCTCCCATCTGTCTTTCCTGAAGAGGCAGCTCAGATGACTATTTCAGATGAGAGCCTGTCCAGGCTGAGAAGTTTCCTGAGTGCAGCACCAAGGAATAAGGACATGACATCCATGGCTTCCCTCCCAACCCAAGAGCCTTGGTGAGCTCACCTGTGCATCCCAGCGTGCTCCTTCCATGAACAGGCCATGGACATAGGCCCCTTCCCGAGGGGGGCTGGCAAAATCCTCTCTGCTCTTCTTTGTCACATCACACTGCAGGGCCATCCTGTCCAAAGGCCACTTGTTCTTCCTGGCCGTGGTCTGCATGATGGCTGTCAGGATGGACTGGGGGTTGAAGAACCCCCCAAGCCACACCGTGCAGGGCAGGGAGAAATCTCCAGTCCAGGTGTCCAGCTCGTTGATGCGAGCGAGGAGGTCAGTGAACCACGTACCCAGGCTGGCTGTGGAAGGGTAGGACTTCCTTCCCCAGGACTCGGGCACCATGTCCAAGAAGAGGGCATTCTGCAGGCTCTCCATGTCACTGGTCATGGTCAGCTCTCCCTGTGTGAGAAAGGGCACAATTAGCACTGATAACTGTTCAGCAAAGGCTGTTCAAGCAGAAGCTGGGCTGGGACATGAGGAACAGCAGCTCACCCCACACAGTCACTGGTGGTCATGGACTGTGAAGGGCTTCAAGAGTTTGGGGCTTTCCTGAACACCTTCTGTTGCACATTCCTGCATCCTCATCTTCCCTGCTGTAAACACACTACTGGGAGGAGAAGCTGTGGGACAGTGAAAAGGGTGTCCCTCGGTTGGCCCCTTTTTTCTTCTGTTTGGACTTGTGGACTGAAGATTTGTTAGAGCCAGTTTTCAAAGGTTCAAAAGTGTTCTCATTCACTGCCAGGGCAGGACACTGGAGTCTCTGATGATCTACTCCAAAATTGTCCAAATGTTTGTTAAGTCAAGTCCTCTCCCCTCCTCTCCTCCACTTCCTCTCCCTCCTCTCCTCATCTATTGCTTTGGCAGTGCAAGGTTTTCTTTTTAACTTCATGTGTTGTCTGCAAATGTAATCACAGTTCCTTCCACAGCAGGGAAATACACAACAAAGTAAGATATGATTCAGCCAAGTGAGATAAAGAGAAAGGTTTGACTTATCCTTTATGCAGCAAGTAATTAGTTTTAAAGCATTTAGAAACCTGGATCACTTTTGTTCAGGCAGAAGAGCTGGAACATCATTGCCTGGCCAAAGAGGGGTTCTGCACATCAACCACACATCCCTCTTGAACTCGTGGTGCTCTGCAGAGGGTTCCCATGGCCTGAGAGACTAAAATTAAGAAAATTCTTGCTGTATTCAGCTGAAATCTTATGAAATCTAGATGAGAGATGTCTGGATGTTACCAAGGCTAAAGGACAGCTGGGAGAGGCTGTTCAGAGCTGCAGCAGGTTGTGCAGCAGGTTGCACCAGGGGACACACAGATGGAGCTCACCAGGGTACAGGTGGGGTGGTGACACTCCACGAGTCATTGTCCCCACCTGGGGCAGCTGACTGGCACAACAGAGGCTTGGCTCAGGCCAAGCTGCTGACAGGGGCTGTGCCTGGGACTGCAGGCAGTGCCTGGAGCCTCTCTGAGCCTGGGATAGGTTGGAGACCATGTCCTTGTCATGGCACTGGTGAGGCCACGTCTGCTGTGCTGGGACCAGTGCTGAGGATTGCTCAGCCCCAGGGAGAGGTGGCTCAGGGGGGTTCTCAATGCCTATGAACATCTGATGGCAGGAAGCAAAGAACATGGAGCCAGACTCCTCTCAGGGGTGTCCAGTGACAGGACATGAGGCAATGGGAACCATTTGAAATACAGGACATTCCATCAAAATACAATGTCAGGGTGGCTGAACACTGGAACAGGTTATCCAGAGAGGCTCTGAGTCTCCATCCTTGGAAATTTCCAAACCCAACTGGAGTGGGTCCCAGATAACCTGTCCCTGTTTTGGGGATGGGGTTGGACTAGACAATATCCTGAACAACTAATCTGTGATTCTGCCCCACTCAAACCAAGCAAGGCTGCAAATAAAAAACCTGCAAACACAGGCTCAGCTTCCCCTGTATGGAATGATCAGATAATGATCAGGAGTGATCACTGGTTTCCATTATAAAAACTTCCTTTTATCCTCTTATCATTTCACCAGAGTTTATGTGACTTACAGTTTCTCTTTGCCTCAGGCTGAGTGTTTTTGGAAAGATCAACTGAAATCAGTTGAGCCATTGCTGAGAACAAGGGTGAGGGAATTGGGTCAGTCTATTCACATTAAAAAATTCCAGCTGTTCTTTCCCAGGGTGTCAGTGCCTCCAGCCATGAGGTCAGCAGAGGTGCCCTGTACTGGGGCCACAAAAATCCAGAAAGCTTTAGCAAAAGTTGAAATCTGCTCAAAGCACCTCACCCCCACACACATTTAGCAATTCTTGGCAGACCCAGCAGTTCCAAATCTTTGCAGTTTGTTCCTGGGCTGACCATGCCCTGCAGGGCTCTGACCTGCAGGCACCACTGCCAGGCTCCAGACAAGGTCACAGCTGGACACCCACCAGAGCATGGGACACAGGAGGGTGCCCTGGGCAATGGAATGTGGTGCATCCAACACCAACAAGTGGAGCTCTGCATGGAGTGATCGAGGCTTAGAACCACAGAATCATGGAATTGTTAAAACTGGAAAGATTTAAAGATTAAAGATTTAAAGATTTAAAGATTTAAAGTTTTAAAGATTTAAAGATTAAAGATTTAAAGATTAAAGATTTAAAGATTAAAGATTTAAAGATTAAGATCACCAAGTCCAACCATCAACCCACCACACCATGTTCACCACTAAACTACGTCCTCAAGTGCCACATCCACATGTTTTTTGAACACTCCCAGGGATGGTGACTCCACCACTGCCTTGGGCAGCTGTGCCAGGGCTTTACAACCCCTTCCATGAAGAAATTTTCCCTAATATTCAATCTAAACCTTCCCTGGTGCAGCTTGAGGCTGTTTCCTCTTGTCCTGTCCCTTGTTTGCTGGGAGAAGAACCTGATCCCCACCTCTCTCCAGTCTCTTTAGGGCAAACCAGGCTTGCTCTGGGGTCAGCAAGTCCTTCTACAAAGAGCCCATAGCCTCCACCTTGGCAGACAAGCGTCCAGGACAGGAATGCCCTGAACCAACCACAGCCCTGGGAGCTGCTGGGTGACAACTTCAACAAGGGCTTTGGACACACACCTGCCCCATACACTTTTGTGTAGGAGCAAAGAGGACTGTCAGCTGAATTCAGGCCTTGGAAATGTCCATTCAAGCACTTCTGGTTTTTTAGAACTTGACTTACAACCCTATTTTTTTCTCTTTTTCCCCCCCTTTTTCTTTTTCTTTTCTTCTTCTTCTTCTCCTCCTTTTTCTTCTTCTTCTTTTTCTTCTTCATCTTCTCCTCCTCCTTCTTCTTCTTTTCTTCTTCTCCTTCTTCATATTTTTCTTCTTCTTCTTATGCTGATTCTTTTCTTCTTCATCATCTTTTTCTTCTTTTTCTTCTTCTCCTTCTTTTCTTCTCCTCCTTTTCTTCTTCTCCTTCTTCATCTTTTTATTCTTCTCCTTCGTCTTCATCATCGTCTTCTTCTTCATATTTTTCTCATTATTATTTTTTTTCCTCTTTTTCTGTTCCTGTGAAAAATTCTAAACATCCACAATAAAATCCATCTTGTCTGGCAATAAGCAAGGGCAGGACTTCAAGGGGAAGTCCCCAGCACCCACCAATTCCAATGGGAGCTCAGAGGACTTTTGCACTGCCCCATGCCTGGAAGATGCTGCAGCCCTGGGATCTCTAATCAGATTCCTCCTCTCTCCCAAGGTCTGTGGATTTCCCTGGGAAATGTTCCTGTCTCATCAGGAGGGACTGGTACAAGGCATGATTAAACCTCTGCCACACCATCTGAACCTGCTGGGTTTCCCCAAGGAGAACAGATTATGGTGGATAGAGAAAATCATGAGTACAAAGAGTTTAAGGTCTTTGAAGCCAAAAGAAATAAATGAGGTTAAATGAAAAGGTGGAAGTAGAAATATTTGCAGTTAGTACTAAAACATGAGGAACAACTGCAACCACCTTTCAAAACACACCTCACCTGTGCCATCCCAGGGGAGTCTCTGCCTCCTCATGATTTCTAATCAATGATTTTACAACTGTGGGGAATCTCAAAATGATGGATCATGTGGTCAAAGGGCTTTGAAGTCCTGGGTAACTCCAGGCACGAGGGTCCAACACAAATGAGAGATGGCTCATGTTGGCACTTGCCATGAAGTGACAGACACACAAGGCAGTGCAAACCCCAGGGGTTTCCTCTTGGGCACCTGTGTTTCATTTTCTCCATAACACACTCGGAGACAATTTCCTGATCCAACATCAAAGCTCAGCCTCCAGAAGATCAGAGGGGCTGGCAGGGACCTTCTCCAGCCTGTCAGGATGGTCTGACCCCATCAGGGCAGTTGTCATGACTTTGTTATTGAACACTGGCCACAGACCCTGAAGCACCATTGCAATTCCTTCTTTGATCATACCCTGTGGGTCACCATCTCCCATCTTAGGAGAAATTGGACATGGAAAGGAAGTATCAATGGTCTAAAGCCATGACAAGACCATAGAGGAACTAAAAATAGTCTGAGGAGCAAAGTCCTGCACTGGCCACAGTGGGACACTGAGACAGGAGAATTTTGCACTCCTGGAAGGGTTTTAACATGGGAAAAAATCTTGCAAAATGTGTGCAAGCAGTCAAATTGATTTAAAGACATAACCCCCTGATCATATATCATGTCTAGTTTTACTTTCAGGAAACAAATGAATTAGCAAATGTAATTCTCAGCAAGGCTTGAGAAAAGCAATTTTTAAAACCTGTGCATCCAAGCATAATGTCAGAGCCTCCTGTGAGGGTTCAAAGCATCTACAGCAGCAATCTCATGTAGTTGTCCAAACACAATTATGCATAAATTTGCATTTCAGATGCTGAATACTAAAGTGCATCTGAAATGATTCAAGTTACTTTTTTCATTTTATTTTTCCCAAATGCTGGGAGTAATTTTCATTAAAGACACCCTCGAAGGAAACCCTAATCAGCCTGCAGCCATTCCCTCCAGATGAGCACACTATTGTCACAAATTGTTTTCTCAGTTCAGGTTATTTTATTTTCACTTGATACAGTGAAATACCCCGTTAGCCTATCGAAATTTGGTCTAACTTTGTTATTTTAGAATATATATTATCCTCATTTTGGAGGCTTATCCTTCACCCAAATTGCAAAATAAAAGATCTGCTTGCAAAGATGAGGCTGGTACAGCATTAACATGCAAGTGTTTCAGCCCAGCCTCTGGTCCCACCCAAGTCAGCCAGAACAAAGGACTTTGAAGAGCAACGTGCCAGTTATTTTTGATGGCCACCAGTCTATTGCAATTTCTCTTCCTCTTAATGGGATGTCTCCTATTTTTGGACCAAACAATCACTTTCCGTTACAAAGACACAATGAATTATTCAAAAAATTCAAATTAGGCCTGACATTTCCAAATCGCCTTCTTTTGGCAGATAGTCAGTTAAAACCAGTAAGATTTGCTTCCTCTGGGCTTTATTTATTCTCTGCTGAGCTCTGAGGCTCCTGGTTTATAAAGTCTCCTCCTCTGAGGGCTGTCAGTGCAGACCCCCAGCCCCAGGGATTAACGAGCTCCAGCGGCTCTCACAGGAGCTGCTTTGGGAAGGAACCTTTGGGAAGGAACAATTAAAGTAGGATTTCTCCCCCAAACTGAGTGTGAAGACCAGCTGTCAAGTCAGGGCAGCAGAAAGAGCCATCAGCATTCCCTGGCTGCTCGACAGGCCCCATGGCATGGGGACATGGGCAATGCTGGGCAGTGCTGTGGGTCATGCATGACATCTCTCAGCTCTTCAGGGACCCACGAGTGCCTGCAGACACAGAACTGTGCCAGAGGAGGGCTAGAGTGGATATTAGGAAAAATTTCTTCACAGAATGGGTTGTAAAGCACTGGAACACACTGTGGTGGAGTTACCATCCCTGGAAGTGTTCAAAAAACACGAGGATATGGACATGGCTTAGTGGTGATCATGGTGTTGGTGCTGGGTTGACGGTTGGACTTGATGATCTTAAAGGTCTTTTCCAACCAGAAGGCTTCCATGAATTGCCCATTGGTGGTCTATCAGGCCCTTCAAATATGTCTCTTCAGCCAACAGCAGATGAAGAAATGCTGACTCAGACTGATGGTGCTGCTCATCCCATAGAAGAGATTCACAGATTCACAGAATCCTGAGCTGGAAGGGACCCACAAGGATCATCGAGTCCAACCCTCAGCCCTGCACAGGCCCATCCCCAAGAGTCACCCACCCCCTGTGCCCCAGAGGATCAGCCAAACCCTCCTGGAGCTCTGGCAGCCTTGGGGCTGTGCCCACTGCCCTGGGGAGCCTGGTCAGTGCCCAACCAGCCTCTGGGGGAAGAACCTTTGGCTGAGATCCAACCTGAGCCTGCCCTGGCACAGCTTCAAACTGTTCCCTTGCAGTTCTCCTCCAGTCCTGGCCTTGGGTGCCTGAATCCCCCCTCAGGTGCTGAGGCTGCTCCAGTCATTAGAGGTTCCTTTTCTGCAGGTACCACCTCCTGCCCTGCCCTGATTTATGGCAGGCTTTTGGGAGAAGTTTGCACCCTCTATTGTTGATTCTCAGCGTTTATTTTGTCTGTGCTTTATTTAAGCTTGTGCATCCCCTCATTCCCCTATCAATATTAAACAGCATATTTTTCCCCACATTAAATCTAATTGCCACACATTGTCCAAGTTACAATTATATCTTGTTTGCTGCTCTGGGATTGAAACATTAAATCACTTCTGTTTACCTGTCTCAGAAAACAGAATTTTCAATTCCACTGCCTTATGCTAGAAAATAAGGGAAATCTGTTTGTAATAATTGACTACATAAATATCAACCTATTTTAAACTGGACTGTCCACACTGGCCACCACAAAGTGACTGTGATATGTCTCTCTTTAATGAAGACAATAAGCAGCAGCAGCAAATGCATTGCAGACACATGTGCAGGATTCAGGGTACAGCTCACACAGCTGGGATTTGGGAACAGCCCAGTCCCATCCCTGCAGAGCTGCTGCCCAAATCCCTGAGCCAACCCTGCCCCTCCCCATGCCCCTGCAGGGAGGGCCTTTGGAGATCTCTCTTCCAAGCTGCCCTCAGGAGGGGGCTGGGATGTCCTTCCATCTCAGAACAGGCCCTCCTTGCCCACCCAGCAGCTCTTCCTGCCAAGGGGTTGGGTCAAAGCCGCTGCAGATCCTTCAGGCAGATGGTTTCTATGCTGTGCAAACTGGTTTTGGGAGCTGAGAATTTTGGTGAAATGGGATGACAACCTGTCATTCCAGAGATGATGGAGCAGGGAATGCCCAGCAACTGCTGCCCTTAACTGTTACTTCATCCCATGGAATCTCTGCTCTGGGGGGACCAGGGACAGCAGCCAGGGAATGGCTGGAGCTGTGTCAGGGCAGGCTCAGGTTGGATCTCAGGCAAAGGTTCTTCCCCCAGAGGCTGGTTGGGCACTGCCCAGGCTCCCCAGGGCAGTGGGCACAGCCCCAAGGCTGCCAGAGCTCCAGGAGGGTTTGGCTGATCCTCTGGGGCACAGGGGGTGACTCCTGGGGATGGGCCTGTGCAGGGCCAGGAGTTGGACTGGATGATCCTTGTGGGTCCCTTCCAGCTCAGCACACTCTGTGACTCTGACAGCCATCCCCCAGGGCTGTGTGTGGTGGTGCAGGGCAGTGTTGAAGCCACCAGGTTTGTGCTGCCAACTCCAGGCTGCATCTCTGTGCTGCACTTAGGCTTTCCCAAGGGATGTACAGCACCTGACTCTGGGGGGGAATTTTTGGGGATGACAAGGGGAACAGGAAGTGTTGTTGCAGGGCACCAGGACAGCCAGGCAGGTCCTCACTCCCTGGCAATGCAGCCTGATCCCTGCTGATTTATCCCCCAATGGGCAACCAGAGCTGTTATATTTTGTCCCACCAACTGCCTGGGAGGGGATGCAGATGATTTCTACCAGTGGATGAAGTATCAGTTACAGCCCTCCCTCCCACCCTGCTGAACCCAGAAATCTGCATTCCAGCTAGTGTGGCCAAAGGCAGCACCCAGAGGGACACAGAATCACCCTCCTGGAGCAGAGTATCGTTTCCTACCAGGGTGGAGAAGCAGCTGTGGTGGAGCATCAGGGATGGTGTCTTCCTAGGGTAGGTCTGTCCTGGCCCTCCTCCATCAGCAGGTGACTCATACCCAGCAAGGGGAGTTGTACCTCTTCCAAAACTTGCATTTTTAGGCTTTTTCTCTTACAGTTCTGAACATTTTGTGTCCTCACACACAACCAATCTTTGATTTCAGCCCAGCTTGTGCCTCTAAGACACTTTGTTCCAAGTTCCCCCATACCTGGACATTTTAGGAAAAGTTGTGATTTTTGGCTCACATTTAAATAGGCCACGTCCCAATTTCTGAGTGACCTGCTGTTGCTGTGCCACAATATGGGGTGGCCAGAAGTGCTTGGTCTCTGTTCCTAAAGCACAGGCAGTGCTGTGTGTGTAACCCCTCCCCATGCCTGAGGGCACCGTGCCATTTGAAATCCATCTGTGAGCCTTTCCCACGGAGCCAAGATGGGTTTGCAGCCAGCAGCACGTGAGCACTTTTATTCCCCGTGACCCCTTTCATTCCCTGAGCACCATTCCCCAGGATTGTCCCCCAGTCCCACCTTCAGGCCCAGCTCCAGCTCCAGCAGCGAGCGCTTGATCTCCCCGGTGAGGACGTTCATGCGCTCGCACTCCTGCAGGGCGACCACGGCGTAGGGCGTCCTCTGCTCCAGCCTGGCCACCAGCTCTGCCATGTTAAACTCATCGCCCAGCTTCTGCAACATCTCTTCCAGAAGGTCTTTCACCTGTGTGCCAAAGGGAGGAGAGAGGGATGGGCACGAGTGACCCCAGAACCTCCTTAGCTCAGCAGCCTGAACGTGGCAGGAGAACTTCACCTGCCAGGCAGTGTCCCCAAAACCACCCAGGTCACCTGCACTGGGCACAGCACCTTTTTTCTGGTGCAGTTTTGGGCACCACAGTATAAGGAAGATCTGAAGCCATTAGAGAGTGTCCAAAGGAGGGTAATAAAGATGGGGAAGGGCCTTGATTTGAAGGTGTGTGAGGACACTGAGGGCACTTGGTGTGTTCAGCTGGAGAAGAGGAGACTGAGGGGAGACCTCAGTGCAGTTCCACCTTCCTGGGCAGGGGCAGAGGAGGGGCAGGGACTGAGCTCTGCTCTGGGGGGACCAGGGACAGCAGCCAGGGAATGGCTGGAGCTGTGTCAGGGCAGGCTCAGGTTGGATCTCAGCCAAAGGTTCTTCCCCCAGAGGCTGGTTGGGCACTGCCCAGGCTCCCCAGGGCAGTGGGCACAGCCCCAAGGCTGCCAGAGCTCCAGGAGGGTTTGGCTGATCCTCTGGGGCACAGGGGGTGACTCTTGGGGATGGGCCTGTGCAGGGCTGAGGGTTGGACTCAATGATCCTTGTGGGTCCCTTCAACTCAGCACATTCTGTAATCCTGTGACTGTGAGAGCTTGCCCCACCCTATTAAAATTCAGTTGCTTACAAAAGTTAATGTCAGATGAGCAGCTTTCAAAATGATGGTTTAAAAACATCCCCATGACATGTAGCAGCCTCTTCTGTGCTTGGCTTTCAAGCTTCTCTTCTTATTTCTCCTTAAGTCAAACTCAACACAAGGAGACAAATGGGGCTGTAGCCTCAGCTGAGCCTCAGGACAATGGAGGTTATGAGCTGGTTTGCTCTGGTTTATTGATATAGGGAGGTGATTATAGAAAATTGAATTTTAAGCTGACTTTGGCATTCTGGACTAATGGAGCCGTGGAAGAAAAGCATAATGAAACAAGATTATTTTCTGGTCACCATCACAGCTCCTTTGGAACTCTAAGTACAAAACAGGGAAATCTCCAATGTAACAGGATGTTTCCAGTGTCTAAAGGATTAAATAAAATAGACAAACCCCTTTCTGGCTGACAGGGAGGCATGAAGCCCCTCATCTCCATTGGATCAGCTGTATTTCCCAGGTTTCTGTGGAACATTAGACATCTTGCTGTGGAAGTCTCACACATTTCTTTGCTTTACTGCTGTGCTGGAACCTGAGCAAGACTCCTGCTTCCTGGGGATTTTTCAGGAGCGCATAACACAGTTACAACTCAACGATCCAACGTCAGAAATCTGGTTTGTGGGGGCCAGTGCCAACTGCAGAGGCAGCCAGGGGCATTTCATTGCCATGACCACCACCAGTCCTATTTTGGACTCTGTACTCCAATTTCCTCCCATTGCTGCTCCCCCAAACCCTCCCCACTCACGTCAGCAGCGCTGATGTGTGGGCTGTTGTTCCAACACACAGGTAGCTGAAGCAAAGCTCTGCTGGAAAAGCTCTTCAGCTGCAGCTCGGGTGCAGTACAGAAATGTCCTCTAATTTGAAATTCCCCTGCAAATCCCTTTGGCTCTGATTCCTTCACAACAATTACAGCTCGTTTGCTGTAATGTGGCCTCAGAAACCTGTGGGAGTAACTGGACTTGTCAGAGCCTCAGGAAAACGACAGGTTCACAGTTCCCCTGGAAGCTCCCTAAAAACCACCTCAGCCGGAGCAGGGGCTGGATATCCTCCAGGGGAGGAGCTGAGACAACACTTAACTCCCTCTCATCCAAGAACCAGGTGGACACAGGCAGTGCAGTTATAGCTCAGATCATGACAGAGATCACCCTGGGAAGAAAATGAGCAGTGGGAGCATCCCTCAGATACAACATGGGGCAGTGAGGCCACACTCTGGCTGCTCTCAGGCAGATTTTATTCCCAGACAGAGCCATGAGGACTCCTGTGCTCCTGTGAGGGTCTTCTTGAGTGTCACCAGGGGTTTGCAGAGTGGCCAGGCCCTGTGACAGCACTGCTGAGGCACTCACTGATCAGTTTGTTTCTGTGGCTGAGCAGTTTAACTGCATTTCAATAGCAAATGGAATGAGAGAACAGGCAGCCACATCTGCTACCTCTGAGCATCTCCTTTGGCTTTGCTACCTCTGGATTATTACTGTCCCCTCAAATTCCAGTATGAACCAAAAATTGAACATACTGGGCACTTCTAAGAGCCCCTCAGTGGAAGGCAGTCAGTTCCCCAGCCCCACACCAAGGCAAAAGAAAGATGTGTGAAACTACAGGCTTCATATAAGCTCCCCATTAGCTACTCATCAATTTGCAAAGCTTGAACACAGAGCTGGGGCCTTAAGACTTCAGAAATAAAAACCTGAGAATGTGTTGGCTGATTTCTGATCCTGATGGGAATGCTTGGGCCGTGTTTTGATGAGCTCTGAGTTTCCAGAGGAAGACCAGCCTGGTACATAGGCACAGCAAAGGGGTTCAGCTGGAAATAAGGAATTACAAGGTTCCTGGGAGCCTGGGAGCTGGGTGGGACATGGTGGCAGCAGTAAGAGTTGGGCTGAGCTCTGGGTGGCACATTTAGGTGGCAGACTGTGCACTCCGGAGCCTGTTATGCCAGACACACAGGGGTGCACAGAGACTGGTGGCTCAGAGATCAGTGGAGGCCACACAAGGTTTATCTGGAACACCTTCAGAGGATGATAACGAAGGCACCGCAGTGCAAGGGTAATTAAAAGCCACTGTCCTATTACTGCCAGTACTCCAGTTACACCCCACTGTGGTGATGTCCTGCATAAAACGAGGCTTTAGGCTGGGTTTGTACCCAGCACAGGTAGAACACAGTCCAATGAGCAGCTGTGAGACAGCCTGAGCTGTGCAGAACTGAGGGATGGGACAGGGATGGGATCCTCTGCCCCTCTCACCGTTTCCTCCCTGGTCCCCACTCCTCCTTCTCCAGTGCTGCTGTCCCGGGGCTGCAGCTCCAACAGCGTGTGCAGGAGCTGCTCCGAGCTCTGTGTGAGGAAGCCAAGCTCAGCGTTGGGATGGAGCCCATACAGGTATGGAGACTCTGGAGGCAGGGCTTCATCTATGTACTGCAGAGACACAGTCAGGCTCAGGTTAGACACAGAGCCAGTCAGGGTCAGGTGAGACACAGAGACAGTCAGGTCCAGGTTAGATACAGAGCCAACCAAGTTCAGATAAGATACAGAAATATTCAGGTCCAGGTTAAATACAGACACATTCAGGTTCATGTGAGATTCAGAGACATTCAGGTTCAGGTTGGATACAGAGCCCAGGGCACTTTGCCTGCAGAGCTCACAGCACTGGAATCATCTCCCTCAGGTCAGCCCAGGCTGGGCAGCTCTGCTTGGGGGTGAAACACCAGTGAACTGATGGAGGAAGGAGAGTATATTTGTTTACAGAACTGCTTCTACTCCTGCTGGCAAAATTCAGTAATTGCTGAAGTTTGGCTTGGCTCTATATCTCAGGCTGGACCTTCTCTAGCAATTATCTGCTGTGCACTTCAGCATCAGCATCCTGAGATCTCTCATGGCAATTTAGCTTCCAGTAGTTAAGTTTTATGAACAAACCCAGCCTAATATGTCTCTCTCTGCTACTGCATTTGTGTACAAAGAACAGATGAGATCAGTAAGTAGATCAACAAGAGCCATCAGTGATTCTCATCAAAACTGATGATAAAAGAAGCTTGAAGGGGCCATTTTAGCAAACGGTATGTGGATGTAATTTTCCAGGAGCCCTGCTCAAGTCTCAAGCACCAATACAGTTGCTCTATTCATGCATGAACAGAATGAGCCCATGATGAAGTGGCAAATTACCATTAGACTGGGTCATCCAAGGAAATGCTGAGACATCTACAGAAACAGAACATAATGGGAGATAACAAAGGTGTGCAGAAACACTGCAGCCCTGTTCCTGCCTCCTAAGGCAGATTATAGGGCAGTTATGGAACACATTACATTTAGGTGTGTAAATAATGCCAGAAAACAAAGAGCTTACCTGGTGATAGCCATTGTAGTCCATGTTCCCTGGGAGGGGGAATCCTGGAGCAAGGAGAAGTTCTCCCTCCAGCATTTCTGGCTTAATAAATTCTTCCAAATAGGTTTTGCAAAGCCTCCTGTCCCAGTCATCTGTGATGTGACCCCCATACATGATCTCACCCACAAGGTAGCGCAGGTCATCATAGGGCACCTGAGGATGAACAGGGAGGGCAGGAAGGACAGACAGATTCTCATTTTAGGAAACATGCAGGAGGTCAGAGAGCCAGAGCTCCAGAGGCCAGTGCTGGGCTGCAGGTTCCAGCACTGACCTGCACACTCAGTGTTTCCACCTCACTGCTTCAGTTTTCTCAGTGAACAAACATCAGGTAGTAGTTAAAGTCTGCCCAAGGAGAACTGGATCACAGCAGAGATTTCCTGCAATTCCCCGCTGAAATGCAAATTTACTCTAAGCTCTGTTAAACTAAAGATCACTGTTCTTTTCAATAATAAAGACCACAGGCACTGTTTGCTGTGATTTCTAAGCTTCTACAGGCTCGAGTGGCACCGAGGCCTCTCATCTCCCCACAAAGGCACAGCAAACCCACAGATCCCAAGGAAATGGTATTTCAGGAGATTTCCCAGGAGCTTCAGCACAAGCCATATCCCCAGTGGTTCAGAGCCCCAGTGAAGCACCCACCTTGGAGCTGGCCTGCAGGTAGTTGTGCAGCACAGTCACAGAGATGGTCAGGTCCCTGCTGCTGAAGGGGTACGGGCGGTTCCAGCCCTGGGGGCCGAACCTGCGCCGCTCGGCCACCACGGCATGGAAATAGCACAGGGCAAACAGGATGCTCCTGAACTCCTTCTCGTGGCTGCACATCTCCAGGGTGTCCTGCAATACAGGCAGAGCCACTGCTCTCAGCCTCAGGGCCTCCAAATACCTCCAGCTTTGGACAGGGATGAATCACAGAATCACTAAGATTGGAAAAGAACTCTGAGATCAAGTCCAACCTTTGACCAACACCCCCATGCCCACTGAACCACATCATGAAGTGCCACTACTTGAACATTCCCAGGGATGGTGACTCCACCACCTCCCTGCCCAGCTTGTTCCAATGTTTAACCACGCTTCCAGAGAAGAAATTTTTCCCAGTATCCAACCTGGACCTCCCTTGGTGCAGCTTGTTGCCATTTCCCTGGTCCTATAGCATCCTACCTGGAAGAAGAGGCCAATCAATTTTTCCTCCAGTTCATATTTGCATAATACACACATGTGTTAATTTTTGAAGTCAGTAGATTTGCATTGCAAATTTATTGGCAAATTCTAATGAATATTTTTGGAATTAATATTTACTATTTCCAGCTCAGAGTGGCTTTGGACAGGAACACACATTAACAGTGGAGAAGGGAAGGACACGTGCACCCACTCAATGTCCCATCACCTGCATGTGCTCAACATCCCTCACCAGAGAGATGGAGAGAGAATCCCAGAATCCCAGAGTGGTTTGGGTTGGAAAGGACCTTTAAAGCTCATCTCATCCCACCCCCTGCCATGGGCAGGGACATCTTCCTGGTCACTAGACCAGGTTGCTCCAAGCCTCATCCAACCTGGCCTTGGACACTGGCCTCACCACCCTCACAGGGAAGAATTTCTTCCCAATATCCCACCTAACCCTGCCCCCTGGCAGTTTGGAGCCATCCCTCCTTGTTCTATCACTGCATGCCCTTGCAAAAAATCCCCCTCCAGCTCTCTTGGAGACCCTTCAGGTACTGGAAGGCCACAATTAAGTCACCCTGGAGCCTTCTCTGCTCCACGCTGAGCAATCTCAATTCTCTCAGCCTTTCCTCCCAGCAGAGCTGCTCCAGCCCTTGGAGCATCTTCGTGGCCTCATCTGGACTCACTTGAAGAGCTCTGTGTCATCACACTGGGCAAGGGGGCCAGCACTGGGCCTGGGACTGTGGCACCTTGCCCAGGAGGTGGAGGGGCAGGAGCCTGAGTAATTTAATCACTGAAAATGAACACAGGAACTGCTTCAAATATGTGCAGAGCACTTCCTCATTTTAGGAACCATCCCCAGACATGAAGGGGCACTGCCTGAATGAACACTGAGAATCCAGTTCAGTCTCATTCGGCCCCTCTTTAGTTTTGTATTTTTCTTCAGCTACAAAGCAGAACAATATCCCCCACACAGAATAAAGAGGCTCCTTTGTAGCTTTCAGCTGAAAGCTAAATTTGAACATCCATTTGTATAAAGCGGGGAAATGAGGTGTAAAAGGGACCCCACCCACTTGCTCCAGGATTTCTGATAAGAGATGCTTTATAATACTCCAGCAATTTAGAAAATGCTAATTACTATCTGATTGAAATGAGCAGAGGCAGGATGAAAATGTTACTTGGGGTGAAGGTTCTCCCCTTCCTTGTTCTCTGGGACATTTTGTGGAGTTCAAGATGACGAATGACAGTAGACAAAAATGGAATAATCTCTCCTGACTAGGGACATTAATCCTGGCATGGTGCCTCCCCATCCCCTGCTCAGCACAGTTAGCTGCTGCTCTTGAGATTCCTTCTACTCTAAGTGCAAAATCAGCTGAGAGCTGCCCCCATTTCCCTGCTCATGGACCAGGGCCTAGAGCCCACAATAGACTGGGATGTTCTTGCCTGGTTCCAAAAGACAAGAGGTTGCATGGAGAGAATCATTAGGATCAAAGAATGGTTTGAGTCAGAAGGGACCTTACACATCATCTTATTCCACCCCCCTGCCATGGGCAGGGACACCTTCCACTAGCCCAGGTTGCTCCAAGCCCCATCCAGCCTGGCCTTGGGCACTCCCAGGGATGGGGCAGCCACAGCTTCTCTGGGCAACCTGTGCCAGGGCCTCCCCACCCTCACAGGGAACAATTTCTTCCCAATAGCCAATCTAGATCTACCCTCCTTCAATTTAAAACCATTCTCCCTTGTCCTATCCCTCCAGGCCCTTGTCCCAAGTCCCTCTCCAGCTCTCTTGGAGCCTCTTCAGGCACTGCAAGGGCTCTACGGTCTCCCTGGAGCCTTCTCTTCTCCAGGCCGAACACCTCCAACTCTTTCAACCTGTCTCCTTAGCAGAGGTGCTCCAGCTCTGTGATCAATTTAGTGCCTCCTCTGGACTCACTCCAGCTGTGTTGGACTCAGCACTGCAGGTGGGGTTACAGAAGAGCAGAGAGATTTCTCACAAGAGAAAACCATCCTGCCAGACCTGCCCTGTGTGTTCCTGGCACAGCCATCAGCTGCAAGAACTTCAGCACTATTGTTTCAAAAAGGCACTTCAAGGGTTGAGGGCACCTTCAGACCCTCCTGGTTGCTCAAGGTTCACCAGATGGGGTCCTGCTGTGAGAGCTGTGTGTGCCAAGGCAAGGGCAGTGTGTGAGTGAGGGCAATGAGTGTTCAGGGCAGCAGGAGGTTGTGTCTGTGTTTCCAGGACAGGAATCACCAGCAGTGTGAATGCTCAGCTCTCAGCCTTTGTGTTATGTGGTAAACGAGGTCAGCAGGAGCGTGGATGGCTCCAGCAGTGACACACACTGGCTCCAGCCTGTCCTGCCCAGGGGCTGTTCCCTGGGGAGCTCTGTTTGATCTGTGTCCTGCTGCTCCCAGAGCCTCCTGCCTGTGGTGCCAGAGCTGTCGAGAGAGGCCACAGAGCAGAGCTCACTTAATCACCACATACCAACGGCTCTGACACTGATCTAACCCTCTGGGGCACCAAGAATATTTTCCATCATTTCCACACAATTCAGTGTCGTGTCCCCTGCACAGGAGACTCAGCTGCAGTTCCATCAGCAGGTCCAGCATCACCAGGATGGGGATTGTCCCGCTCTGCCCTGGAGCGGCCTCACCTCAGCATTGGGGTAGTTTGGGGGGACACAATGGAAGGAAGAGATTGAGCCATTACAGAGTGTCCAAAGGAGGGAAGGAGGATGGGGAAGGGCCTTGATTTGAAGGTGTGTGAGGACACTGAGGGCACTTGGTGTGTTCAGCTGGAGCAGAGGAGACTGAGGGGAGACCTCACTGCAGGTCCAACTTCCTGAGCAGGGGCAGAGGAGGGGCAGGGACTGAGCTCTGCTCTGGGGGGATGTAGTGGTTTGAATCTTGTTTTCCCCCAGAGGCTAAGAAAAGTGGTAGACCCCAAGGGGTGGAAACCCCTGGAAGTTTTGAAGTTCTGTCCAATGGGCGCTCCTGCAAAAATGTCAACGTCCCACAAGCTCACCGGAGGAGCTGAGTTGTAGTTTTGGTTGTTGTTGGAGAGGGTGGCCATGTTGTAGAGCCACGAGGAAGGGGCTCTGAGCCCCACAGGGGGGCTTTGGCCTCCCAGCCCCTGGCTGGGGGGCTGCGGGGACCTGGAACAGCATAAAGCTGGGCTAGGTGCCTGTAGTTATGCCGGGAGATGTTTTCTCCATGGGCACAGAGCAGCAGCCAGCACTGACCAGAGAAACGGTGGCAGAGAGCCAGAGATAAGAACCTGAACTGAAGGAGCAACAGAGACATGCAGTACCAGAGAAAGGACTCCTGGAAGGAGAGCCGGGAAAAAGAGAGCCAGCAGCTGAGAGACAGAGTCCTGGGGGTAAGACTGTACCAGATCCCCTAAAACTCCCTTGAGACCCCTCTTGGAGAAGAGGGACATGGACTCCTATTTTGGAGAGCAGTTTTAGACATGCAGCACTGGAGAGACAGAGGAGCTGAGAAGCTCAAAAGACGTCCCGGACCTGGACCGGGATGGCCAGAGGAATGCGGGGGGAGTTGACCTTGGCTCCCCCCTTGCACTGCTGCCACGGTGGCAGCCTGAGAGACAGGGCACAGAGGCCCTGCAAGAGATACCAGACCGTTACGAAGACCCCCCTGTGTCTTTGTGATATGACGTGGTGATACGACCTTGTCTGGGGTTACGAAGCCCACGGAAGACCCCTTTGCCTGCGTCGAGGGGGCCGAGGGAGCTTGGATACCTCCCTCGTGAGTGCTGGCAGAAAGCCAGCCACAGCTGCTGCATGTGGAGAAGACAGACAGACTGCTGCCTCAGAAGATGCTGCTGCTTAAGAGACTGAAAGGGATCTGTCCTTCCTTCCCTCCTGGACTTTTATTTGGAGGGGAGAAGAGATCTGATCATTGTAATACTATAGGTCACGGTAGAGATAGTTGTGATCGTGTGTATAATGTGATATGGTATTTATTTGTACAGTCATTGTAATATATTCCCTTTCCCCCACTTTGAGTCTGGTGTGTTTTGTCTGGAAAAACCCATCTCACATTAGGTTGAGATGTGGGAGGGGGGAATGGAGCTAGGGAATTGGATTTTGGGGCTATCTCAAACCATGACAAGGGACCAGGGACAGCAGCCAGGGAATGGCTGGAGCTGTGTCAGGGCAGGCTCAGGTTGGATCTCAGCCAAAGGTTCTTCCCCCCAGAGGCTGGTTGGGCACTGCCCAGGCTCCCCAGGGCAGTGGGCACAGCCCCAAGGCTGCCAGAGCTCCAGGAGGGTTTGGCTGATGCTCTGGGGCACAGGGGGTGACTCTTGGGGATGGGTCTGTGCAGGGTCAGGGGTTGGACTGGATGATCCTTGTGGGCCCCTCCAACTCAGCACATTCTGTGACTCTGGGATACATGATGGGATGCAAAGGGACTCACTCAGCTGCTGCTTGGAAGGGCAATGCCTTCCCCCATCACGCTCCATGGGGCCTCCAGCAGCTCCAGCAGCTCCAAGCCAACCTGTCACTGGTGCCCCAAGCTCCTACCTGGCTGAAGTTGTCAAGGGCTCCGTGCAGGTTTGCCTGCATCCCAGTGGGGGCCTCGTTGGTGATTTTGATGGAGTTCTCCAGGATGCCCTGGGGAATGATGTGGCTCTCGGGGGAAGGTGCTGGCTCTGCGCTGATGAAGACACGGAAGTCCTGGTGGCTGCCCTCACTGTGCTGCTCCAGCTTCTTCTCCAGGGAACTCAGCCACTTGGCCACCAGGTGGATGTTCTGGCAGGGACAAAGGGGAGGCTTTATCATTCCCCCATTTACACCCTTGATTTCCTGAGTAGCACTAAATCCATCCCACCCATGAACAGCCAAGGCTGCTCTAGAATTGGGTACTCGCCCCAGGAGTGCCTATGAGCAGTTCCCCAAATATCCACTTACATCAAGTACACTTTTAAATTCAAAATAATCAATACAAACCACCAGCAGTACAGCAAGTCACAGCTGGGCTGGTTGGGCTCTCAGTGCTCAGACTCTCGTCGTTACAGCAGTACCAGCTGACAAAGCAGAGCAGTTCCACATCCACTGAGCTCAAATGAAAACATTTGTTCATTTTTAACAGAATAACAGTGAGGACCCTCAACAGCAAAAAGTCAAGCAGGTGGTTCCACAAAGACCTTTCACATAAAAGATTTATTTATTCATGCAACTAATTAGATGTATCTCTCAGAAAATTAAGCAGCATCGTGGGGAGATGGTGAAATCGATAAAGACAAGCCTCAGTTTTTTTCCCCTCGGAGTCCTATACAGTAGTTTTCAGGCAAGAAAACAGCTTTTTGTTATATTAGGGATGGAATTTGTGGGCTAAACTCCCCTTGGTTTAGTTGGTTGGTAATCCAAACTGGCTGTGTTCACTGTGGTGATTTATCTCATCCAAAGAAAGGACAAGGAACTTGATAACCCTAAATTAAAAACAGCCTCCAGAAAGATGAACTGCTTGGAGGTGGCAAGGAAATTACATCAAGGAACCATCTTAGAGGCTAAGAATAAATATATATCACCTATAAATGGGGCCAGAAAGGAGCTCTCATGGTTAAGTAGCAGAGTAATGGAAATTATTAGGAGAAAATTGAATTCTTCCAAAAGTGTAAGTTTTGTCCAAATGAGAAAAACAGAAAAGAGCACAAAATCCAGTCACAGGAAGGCCAAAAAATGCTATAAGAAGCAATATTTCAAAAACATAAAAGCTAATAATAAAGCCTTTTGCAGAGACCAGGAACGTGCCAGAGAGTCTGTAAAAGTACAAGATGATCAAGGTCTACAGGGAGTGCCCATGAAAGGCCAGGCCACCCCAAAACAGCCCATCTTTGCAGGAATAGTCTCTGAGGAGCCTGGGGAGGCTCTCACAGCCTGTGTAACACAGGGGAATCACTCAATGCTGAGGCTCAGATGCCCCTGGAGATCATCCATCCCATCCTCCTGCTCCAAGTGGGACCAGCCAGAGCAGGTTGCTCACTGTGCCCAGTTGGGTTTTTGGATATCCTAAGGCTGAAATCTCCACAACCTGTCTGGTAACATGTGGCTAGTGTTCAACAATCCTCACAGTAAAAAAACCATAAAGATAATGTAGTATAATATAGGAAAAGAAAAGAAAAGAAAAGAAAAGAAAAGAAAAGAAAAGAAAAGAAAAGAAAAGAAAAGAAAAGAAAAGAAAAGAAAAGAAAAAAGAAAAGGAAAAGAAAAGGAAAAGAAAGAAAAGAAAAGAAAAGAAAAGAAAAGAAAAGAAAAGAAAAGAAAAGAAAAGAAAAGAAAAGAAAAGAAAAGAAAAGAAAAGAAAAGAAAAGAAAAGAAAAGAAAAGAAAAGAAAAGAAAAGAAAAGAAAAGAAAAGAAAAGAAAAGAAAAGAAAAGAAAAGAAAAGAAAAGAAAAGAAAAGAGAAAAGAAAAGAAAAGAAAAGAAAAGAAAAGAAAAGAAAAGAAAAGAAAAGAAAAGAAAAGAAAAGAAAAGAAAAGAAAAGAGAAAAGAGAAAAGTTTAAGGGAAATCTGTATCTCAGTTTGAGTCCAGTGTCTCTGTCTGACTCCATCTTCTGCACTTCCCCTGTCATGAGGGATTTAAACCCCTCTGAGCCAAACCCCAGCTTTTGGAGGTTAAATAATCCCAGGTCTCTCAGCCTCTCCTCATGTAACACATACTCCAATCCCTCAGTTGCTGGAAAAGATTCTTAAACAGATGCAGCAGATGAAGAGTTTTTTGGAAAAATTGATAAGGTGAATAATAACAGGTTATAGGAGCTGACAGTCTCCACTTGGGAAAATCCCAGATGTGGAAGGTCTGCAGGACTCCCCAGGATGCACCAGGCACCAATAAAGCAGGAGTTACACACAAACAGGATGAGTGGGAGAAGACCAGGAATCTGAAAGTTCCAAACCATTTTAGATGACGGAACTGAGGATATCAAAATCTGAGCTTGTGGGTTGGGCTGGGGCAGAGCTGATGTTCCCCCCAGCGGGTCTGGGCTGTGTTTGGGGCTGTGCTGGAGCAGTGCTGGGCACACTGGGATGGCTCAGTCCCTGTGACACAGCCAAGGGCTGCTCTGCTCCTCACACGGCCCTGCCAGGCCCAGCCCGGGGGGCACAGGGAGCTGGGGGGGCCCAGGGGGGACAGGGGAGCCCAACTGCCCCCAGGGATGGCCCAGCCCGTGGGGAGTCCCGCTCAGCACACAGAGCTGGGGGAAGGAGGAGGGGGATGTTCAGATGGATGGGGTTTGCCTTCCCCAGTCCCCAGCAGGTGGGAGGGAGCCCAGGGCAGTCCTGGGATGGCTGAGCCCACGGGAAGGGGGGAGTGAACTCTTCATTTTGCTTGTGTGACTTTTGCTTTCCCTTTTAAACTGGCTGTATCTCAACCCAAGTTTCCTCGCTTTTCCCCCCAGTTCTCTGCTACCCGACCCTCGTGCAGTGAGTGATGGTGTGTGGGGCTGAGTTACATCACAAACACAGAGGGTTGTCCCCAGGGAACACTTTTGCAGGTCCTGGAGAGGTGAATTCCAGCAGACAGGTCACACATTTGTGTCAAGCATTGCCTGCTCAGAGGAGGAGTTGCCTCCATGGGGCCAATGTGTCTCCAAGCTTGCATTTTCATCAGTATGAGCCATTTCTCTTCCAGTTCCCACTATCAGTGCAGGTAAGAGGGAAGGTCTCATAAGCCACCAACGAGTCAAAAGCCATGTAACAGGGGTGGGGAGCTACTGATGGAGCTTTAACTTCTCACCATATTCAAAAACCACCTGAAAGAGTGAATGATTAATGAGCTGACAAAATTAGTTATAAGACAAAGTTATTTCAAGTCCTCAAAATAAAACCTGGTGGTGAAGAACTGCAAGAGGTGCCATCATTCTAAGTGAGTGGCAGTGACATTTCAGAAGAAATCCAGTGGTGATAGATGCAAAGTAATGCACTCAGAAAAACAACAACTCTGATGAGTTCAGAATTAACTATTATCACCCAGGGAAGAGACCTCTAAGTCCTCACAGTTATTTCCTGCAAATAACAGTTCAATGCAAAAACAATCAAACAATGCAAAACCAACCAAATGCTTGGAAAGGAACAGAGAATAAAACTGCAAACATTATTTTGCACTCCATAAATTCATGGGGGGCCTTCATCTTGAAAACAGCATCCAGTTCTCACTCCTCTGTCCCCAAAAGGGTTTAACTCCCCCAAAAGGAGACACTAAATGGATATACACCTGCTGTTTGGAGAGAGCAGAGCTCGGGGAGGGAGGGAGGGGGTGAAATGCAGAGTGGAGGGTGGATAGAGCAGACTGCAAGCTTTGAAAGAACAAGTGCAAGGATATTTTCATATGACACATACCTAAACTGCCAATTTACTGCCTCAGGGTGTTTTGTGAGTTGAGAGAATCACAGAGTGGAGCTGAGCTTTAAAGTCCCAGAGAAAAACAGAGAATGACAGAATTGTTGAGGTTGGAAAAGACCTTTAAAATCCTCAAATTCAACCCCCAACCCAGCACCACCACCATATTCACACTAAACCATGTCCTCAAGTGTGATATCTACATGGTTTGTGCACAGTTCCAGGGATGGGGACTCCAGCACTGCCCTGGGCACCTGTGCCAACATCACTGCACACTGTTACTGTTTCTGCACCTTTTCCCCCAGGTTGTGGCTGTGCCCATCTCAGGCAGAGAGATGGGGTGGCAGCACCTCGGGTGCCCCAGTGCAGGGATTCTCTGTTCCTCAGAACACCAAGGGAGCTCTTCCTGGCAACACAGAAACCCTCTGCTGGCTTTTCTGTCGGAGGGCTCAGGTGCCCCTTGTGAGCTACATATGGAGACATCCCAGCTGGGGCTGGAGAAGAGGAGGAACACTGGAGAAAGGAAAAGCTGAGGTCCTTTAGGCACAGGCTGGGAGGGAACAGTGGCTGCTGTCACAGACTATTGGCAGTATTTGAAAAAGCTGGAGGGATGGGCAGCACTCAGAGATGAACCAAGGGATGTGAGTCAACAGAATTCTGTCTGGGAAAGCCATGGACACCTTCCTCCCTCCAGTTCTGTTGCCCCAAATCTGATTCAAATGTCTGGGAAAAATAATTATTATTTAGAACTGCATAAATTCAGTCTCCACTCCTGAGATGACCCAGGGATGTGCTCTCAGTATACGGGTGAAATGGAGTTTGGGTTGTGAGATGAGGAGATGCCTGAGCAGAGGGATCATGTTCTGGGGAAGTCTTGTTTTCTCATAAATGGGGACCATGTGAGGAGCAGTAAAGAAAATGCATTATATCTGAGCTCTGCTGCACCACTGCTGGGCTGATACATTTAGGATTTCAGGAGATGAAGTTCTCCCCAGGGTCCAGCCCACCAGCTCTCCCTAAAAACACAAGTCCAATAATCAAGTAGGAGTGGACTGAAACCTGTAACCAAAGTGCTACAAACACCATGGAGATTTAGTAACACAGGGAGAGAGCTCAACAAAATACCAAAAGAAACCCTGTGCATTAAATATCAGTTTAATCATATTCTGCATATCTGACCTTAAGTGTTCTCATCTCTAATTGGTAGTTCCTTCCTACATCTGCTTTTCTGGTGTTAGATGGCTCAAAAATAATTGCTTTTGCTTGTGTTGACATGACACCAGTGATCATTATTTGTCGGTATCACTGCCTGCTAACAGCCAGCCGAGGGAATATTTCCAGTCCAATGATAATTGAGTGCATTTATATACTGTCCTTTTGTGATAGAAGGGATGAGAAAGAGGAATATGTGCA